TCTTGGGTGTGAGTCGGCGGGAGAGCGAGCGGGGTCCGCTGCATAGCGGAGGCAAGAGTCCCTCGAGCGTGAGCTAGCGCACGCGCATGCGCACACTTGGTGGTCCTGATGGGCAGCGGCACCTCCTCCCCTCCGGGAGCCCGCTTGTCCCCGGTGTTACGTGTCAGGAGTTGCGTACCCAGGTTGTGTGGGTGGACGTTGGCGGACACGGCAAAGGGCGGGGGCAGGTTGTACCCAAGCTCCCTCGTCTAAACACACAACCCCCACGTCCTAGGGCTTGGTTCCCAGGCCCCCGCGGCAGGAGGTGGGAGGGAGGGATGTCCCGGAGGGAGGGCCCCTGAGTAACTTTTCTTCGGAAAGTATGCCTGTCTGGCCCCCAGCCCAGGCCTGAGTCATCAGGCTCTCGCTGCATTGAGTCATGGCCTCCACCCCTGCCCCCGAGAGCTTGGAGGGGACCCTCCTGAAGTCTTGCCCAGGGCTCCCTTCCCCGGGGTTTGGAGGGAGAGCGATCCCCTCCTACCAAAACACACACAGACAGATACACAGACACGCACACACATACCCCATCTCAAGACAGCCTGACTCCCATAGGGAACAAAGCCTTGGCTTTATTTGCTCTGTGGGAACACTGTTACGTTCACAGCCCCCTCCTAGGCACGGGATGAGAGGTGTTGGGTGTGGGAATCCCAGCGAGCACCCTGAAGGGGGCATCGTCCCCATCTAGTTCGCTCTTCCCCATCTTTTCCGTGGGGCGCCCCTCCAGGGTCAAGCACTAGTATGTGGTGAAGGCAGGAAAAAGGTGTGTGTAGGGGGTGAGAGTTCCCTTTAGGGAAGGGAAGGGAGGGCTGTAGCACCAAGAGTCCCTCCCCCCACGAGGTCCCTGGAAAGGGGACTAAAATAACGTCCTGGGGCCTTTCTGTCTGGCTGGGGCTCCGCTTAAATATGGTGGGCAGAGAGGGTGTGCCCCAACAGGCTAAAATTCTGACCACCAGTTGTGGGGAGCCCGGGGTAGGGGGTGCAGGCTGGGCTTTCAATTTGGGGCAGGTGAATGGAGGACAGAAATGCCTTATACTGGGCAGTCTGGGAGGAGCAGCGATAGAAGGGGCTTTTCTGTTGACTGAGGATCCTTATGAAAGAAAGGGGTGTGGCCAGAACTGGGGGGGGGCAAGAGGGGTCCCTCTGAGGAAGTAGGAGGTTGTGTCTCCCCTCTGAGCCCCCAGTGGTCCCGAAGCCTGAGGACATGATGGGTTGGAGGGTCCTTGCCTGGCTAGGCAAGAGGAAGTGGGCTGAGAAGGGAGGGGAAAAAGTCAGTTAGTCATTTCAACCAAGTGGACGCTCACTTATGGGGAGAGGCCAGAGGTCTTGCTCAGAATCAGGGATCAGACTGGTTAGGTCCGGGTATGTGTGTGCGTGTTTGAGTGACTATGTAGGCGCTCTCTCCTGAGAATGTCAGCTCCATCGGGGAAGGTATATACGTGTGCGTTGCTCTCTGCTGTAATCCCCAGTGCCTAGAAGGAGCCCTGAATGTATGAACAGAGTAGGTGCTCAATAAATATTTGAGTAACTGATGCACAGTTGGACGCTTCTGTGTGTGTGTGTGTGTGTGTGTGTGTATTAGTGTTGGTACGACATGCCAAGTGTATGTGAGGGTAGAGCTGTGAAAGGTGGGCAGAGAAGTCTTGCCCTTCCCCTGGTCCCCACTGTCTGGCTTGGGGGTGGAGGGACCCCCATCCTTACAGCCAGGGGAGTGGGCAGGCAGGACGTGTGTGGACAGGGGTGGGGGGGGGGTGCGTGCAGCTGTCCAGAGCTGGGGAGCCACAGCAGGGCAAGTGGGAGGGAGGGCCGGCAGGCAGCGGCTGGCTCACTCGGCCGAGCCCTTGTGGCGCCGCTTAGAGGGTGGCACTAGGCGGCGGGGCAGGTTGGTGGGCAGCCCGTGGCCCTCGAGCTTGGCCTCAATAAGGTGGCTGGCCAGGGCGAACTCCTCGTCATCCAGCATGCCATCTCGGTCGACGTCGCTCAGCTTCCAGATGCGCCCCAGCACAGAGTTGGGGAGCTTGGTACCCACCATCCAGGTCTTGGCCTTGGTGCCACTCAGCTTCCCGTCGGCTGGCGCCAAGTTGTAGAAGATCTCGTCGTACTTGGACTTGTCCTTGGTCACCACCCACTCTGCCTCGTCGTCCGAGCCCTCCTCACCGTCCTCCAGGGCCTCGTCAGGCCCCCGCTCCACAAACGGGCCCATGTGGGTGCCCTCGAAAGCGCCCCCCTGCACGCCCACCTCCGTGCTCTCCAGCTCCTCCTGCCGGAGCAGGGGCATGAGCTTGGCGATGTCGTGGGTCAGCATCTCATCCAGCGCCTCCAGCAGCTTCGGCTTCAGTGAGTGGAACTTGGTGAAGTCATGAGCCATCAGCAGCTCCTAGATCGATGAGGGCACAGAGGAGTCAGGGACACCATCCCCAGGTCCCCTCTCCCGTGCCGGGCATCCCCCCAAGTCACTGGACAGTAGTGGGGTTGGGGACCCTCCCGTGACTCAGCAGCTGTTCACCAGCCAGTAGAGAAGGATTTCATCATTTTGACATCGGCTGCAGTTTTATCAGAGCACCCCGGTGGGCCCTGAGCCCTGCCCAGCCTCTATGGCACCCCAGCTGCCCGGCCAGCACCCCCACTATTATGCAAGTTAAGAAAACACAATTCCTGCCACTCTGCTAGCTCTGTTACCAGGGCTAAGGCAGCTTGTCCCTGGGACCGCCCCCCACCCCACCCCCCAGGCAAGAAGTCATCTGGTGCTCGAGCCACTGGGGGCTGGGTTTGTGGTCACGCTGCTTCTCACCCGCGCAGCTGGTAAGTCAATTGCGCTGGGAGCTGCAGCAAAGACCAAGCTGTATCGTGGCACCACATTAATTTCCAGAGCCAAGGCAGAGAGGCCCACTGATTGTGACCATAAAGAAATGGGAATGTGATGGAGAAGAGCAGGGAGGAATCCTAGGCCAGGCTGCCCAGGTTCCAACCCAGCTCTGCCACTCAGGAGCTGTGTGACCTCGGGCAAGTGACTTCACGTCTCTGGGCAATAGTTTCCACATTTGTAAAAACAGGTTGATAAGCAGCACTCCCTTCACTGGGAGGTGGGAAAGGCTAAATGAATTCATATGGACCAAGTGCTCAGTAAATGTCAGCATAATATTAGCAGCTGCTATTTATCTAGCCCCAAGGGCTGGCTTGGTGGTTTACAGAGGGACTCAGTCCCCTTCTGTCTTAAGTCTCCAAGCCTGGCCTCCAGTCCCAAGAACAATGATACAGAATGGCTGTGGCAACTCCAGCCATTGTGTCTATATTCCAGCCAGCAACAGTACTTTGTACGATGATGGAAATGTTCTATGCTGTGCCGTCCAACGTGGTAACCACTAGCCACATTAAAACTGAAATTTTAAGTTTCTAGTTGAAGAACCTGAGGCTCTGAAAAGGTAAGTGACTTGTCCAGGTTCACAGAGCTAGTTGGTGGCCAAGGGGAAATTCACTCCACTATAATTCCTCAATCTTGGACTAGAAACATCTCAGATGCAAAGGTCAGAGGCTTTGAGTATCAGCCTAATGCAACCTCAGAACAGAGGCTCAGCCTGGGCCGACAGGCTAGTCCTCAATTCCATGCCTGAGCCTGGGACTCTATGCCTATGTTCATTTGGTCGCTCCTGCCCTGCCCACCTCCAGCAGCTCATTTACCCCAGGCTACCACACGCAAACCCAATGCTTTCCCCAACACTGATTAATCCTAGACCTGGAAAGGTGAGGAGCCTCCAGTGATCCCCTAATATCCGTCTGTCCCTTCCTTCTCCGTGCTGGAATCCCTGAATATTACCTGGGCACTTGGCCACCTAGAGGAAAGACTACATTTCCCAGCTTCCCTTGCAGCAGGTATGGCCATGTGACTAAGTTCTGGCCAATTGGATATCAGCACGAGTTTCATATGCACCTTTAGAATTATCCTGCTCAATACTGTAGCCACCTGGGATTATTTAAATTGAAATTAGTTAAAATTAAAACCTAAAATTTCAGTTTTAATATGGCTAGTGTTTACTGCATTGGACAACACAGCATAGAACATTTCCATCATTGTAGAAAGTACTATTTCTGGCTGGAATATAGACACAATGGCTGGAGTTTCTGCAGCCATTTTGTACCATGAGGGGTTCTTTGGATTGGAAGCTAGGAATGGAGACTTAAGACTGACGGGGGACTGAGTCCCTGGCTCTATAAAGTACCAAGCCAGCTGTGGACCATCTTCCAAGAGTTTTATGAAGGAGGGAAATAAAATTCTATCCTAATTAAGCCCTAGTTACTTTGGGTTTGCTCATCACTCCCTTATCGTAACTCACAAATCCATGCTCCCGAGGAATCATTGATAGGAAGTGCTTTCAGGAACCTGCCATCCATCTCTCCAGTTTCTGAGGCCCCATCCCAGAGCCCACAGAAGCCAACCTTCCTATCACCCCTTTGGCCTCCCACCTGCATCTTCTGGCAGTCAGGAAAGTCGCCGGGAGATATGTGATGCTCCAGCTGAATCTTAGCAAAGATGACGGGCAGCTTGAGGATCAGCTGCTTCTTCTTGTTCTCCTTCCCAAACACGGACGGCATCTCCTTCTTCAGGTAGCTGATGATGTATGTGTGAACCTGTCGTGGGTAGGGGGAGAGTTCTCACCTGAGCCTGCCTCACAGTCACGCAGTGGGGCTCGTTAAAACACACGTCACCCAGATTTCCGGAGTCACTTGGTCCTGAGAACGTGCATTTCTAACAGCTACAGGTAAGCTGCTGCTGCTGCTGGTGCCCTGGGAAGAAGGGCTCCTCCCCTCTTCCAGGTAATCTCAGTCCCTCCTGTGGCTTTAACACCCCTCCTCACCATCCACTGCCAGATCTACATACCAGCCTCAGCCTCTCCCTGGAGCTCAAGGCTCAGAGCTGATGGCCTTGTCAACATTCCTGGACAGCTCCATCTTAGGATGCCTTCTGCCTGCCTTGGAATTCGAGGGGCTGGGCCTCTCATCTGTGCCCATCTCAGGGAAACAAATGGCACCCCCCCAGCCCCCAGTTGAGCCCAGAAACCTGGAAATCATTCCTGATTTGAGTCTCACACCTCACCAGCCACATCCAATTCATCAGCGAGTCCTTTTAACTCCTAAATTTCTCTCCTACTTTTCCTTTTCTCTCCACCCCATCCCAGCAGGTACCCTCTCTTGCCTGGGGAGACACACCAGTCACCCCACTGGATTCCTGGCTTCCACACTGGCCCCTACAATCCCAATCCTCTTTCCCCATGCAGCAGCTGCTGGAGGTTTTGTTTTTCATTTTTTGGAGTTTTTCTTGTTTGTTTGCTTTTTGGGTTTTTTTTTTTTTTTTTTGTAGGAATAAGCACCAGACCACGAGACGCGGCTCTTAAGTCTCTATTTGCTTCTTATTCAAGTTTAAAATTCCTACCGCCACTGACAAGGACTTACTGCAAACAATTCTCAAAGCATGGTCACCATCCTCTCTGAAGTATTTTTTCTCTCTCTTTTTTTTTTTTTTTGGTTTGGAAAATAGTTTTCATAAAACATCTGTTACTTAGGTTAACACATAATAAAATAGATTTTTTATTGCTAGTTTAAATGATCTTATATGAATTGTTATCAATATCTGTTAATCAATATACATAAATGTCAATAACTTACTTATAACATTTATCATAACTTGTTAATTATATAATTATTGTTTGTTCATTAATATGAGAGAAATAAATATTAAATGTCTTCTCAGTTTTAACTTCTAATATGGCCCATATAGAAAGATTTAATCCATGTACATACAAGGTCTTTGGGGTCCTCAATAATTTTTAAGAGTGTAAGGAGCTCCTGAGACAGAGGGGTTTGAGCAGCGCTGCTCTCCATTATTTGGCTCCTGCCACTTCATCCAACATTATCTACCCCCACCTACTTCCTCACCTGCCTTCTTTTGTGTTATTCTTTTAAAGGAGGTACTGGGTATTAAACCGAGGACCTCATGCAAGCTAAGCATGTGCTCTGTCACTGAGCTATACCCTTAGCCCCTACCTTCCTTTTTTATCATCATGTCTATCTTTTTCCCACCTCAGGACCTTTGCACATGCTGCTCTCTGCCTGGAACACTGCCCTGGTCTCCCAACTGGCTCCCTCAGCTTCCTTTTGATATCACCTCCTCACAGAGGCCATCCTATGGGAAGCAGGTGCCCCAAGCACCACTATCCAATTCCTTTCTAGCTTTACTTTTTATCACAATTCATCATTATTTTATTTCTGTTTGTTTACTTATTCTGTCTCCTTCTATCAGAATGTGAGCTCCAGGAGGGCTGAGACCTTGTCTGTTCCCTCTGTCCCCAGTGCCAGTGCATTGTGCATAGAAATTAACTGAAGAAACACTTGTGGAATAAACCAATGAACTGGAGAAACTTTGAGCCACAATTTCATAAGTTATCAAAAAACAAACAAGGAGAGAAGACAAGTGAGCATTCATATGTCCTATTTTTTAATAGGAAGCTCAATAATTAAATGGATATGCTTAAATAAAAATAAAATATACCTGAAAACCAAGAAACTACTCATGGGGATTGCCTATAGGGAAGCGAAACTGAGAGCCTTTGGAATCAGGGGTGGGAGAGGGCACTTTTGACAGAGCCTGAATGCTTTCCCATGAGAAGGTCTTAAATGTTAAATTAAAAGCACTCGTTAAAAAGTTCTTTTAGTGAGTCATAAATTTAGAATGTTAAATATTATGGTGGCACCTGGCTGGCTCTGAATCTTCATCTCCTCCCATCTCCACCACCCAGTCTCCTCCAGCCACCCTGAGCTTCTTGTCCAAGCACATCCCAGCCCCAGGGCCTTTGCACTTGCTGTTCCCTCTGCCTGGTATGGTCTTCCCCAGTTCTCCACTTGACTCACACCTTCCCCTCCTTCAGGTTTCTGCTCAAATATCACCTCCTCCAGGAGGCCCTCCCTGACAATCCTAGTCCCTAAAACAGCAGCTCGCCAGCCTCTCTTCTGCTTCATTTTCTCTCATAATTCTTATCACATACAATATAATATTAGAGATGAACTTCTTTAATATCCATTTCCCCATTAAAAAGCAATTCTACAAGAAAAGAAACGTTACCTGTTTTGTCCCCTACTGTATCCCCCAGGGCTTAGAACAGTGCTGGAGCACGAGGTAGGCGCTCAGTAACTGTTGAATGAATGTTATTGAGTGCCCCTGGGGTGCTTGGTATGAAGGTTCAGGGCATACTGGCCTCTTTAGAATCAGAACTTCCCAAGACTTTGGCCTCCAGGACCATAGCACAATGAGATCGCCCCTTCTAGCAGCAGCTGTCACTTCGACCAAAGGGCAGAGCCAGAGGACTCTTCCACATCTTACATCGCTACAGACGATGGGGAAACGAAGGCACAGAGGGTAGTTACCGAGAGTGCAGAGAGGTCTCGTACTGTCGGGGAGAGCATGTGGGAGGTAAATGATGTGGGCCGTTGTTCGACGGCAGAATCACACGTGGAGGGTGAGTGGGTGACACGGGGCAGGGGAGGGTCAGAGAGGCTTGGTCACCATAGACCTTGTGTCTTGAGCGGCACTGGGGAGCCATAGATGGATCTGCAGGAGGAGGGGGAAGGAGTGGTCTCTAGATCTGAGGAGCCAATCAGGGCAGGGGTGTGGCCAGGCTAGCAGGTGGGGCCTGTGGAGGGCCAATGGGGAGGGAGGAGGGGCGGGGCCTAAAGGCGGCTCCTGGGGACCCAGAAGTAGGGAGGCGGGAGGGCTCTAATGGCTTTTCCAGAAAGGAAGCGGGGGAAGGTGCCAGGAAGAGATAAGGTGGGAGGGTAGAGTGGGCCGGGGCGCGGGTCCCGGACTCCGGGGTTTGTCCAGGTTTCCGGAGCCGCCTCCTGCGTGGCAGAACCACCAGGTGTTCGGCCCCACCCCACCCCTCTGTCCCACGGACCCCGGGCCTCTGCTCTGGTTGCTGTCTTGCTTCTCGGAGGGGTCTGGGGGACCAGGTCCGGGGCAAGAGGGCGAACCAGGGGAAAACAGAGAGGGAGGCATGGAAAGAGAGAGAATGAATGAGGGAGGGGAGAGGAAAAAGAAAGAATAAGAGAAAGAGAAAGTGAGAAAGAGGTAGAAATGAGGCGATATATAGACAGAGAGACAGAGAGACAGAGACAGTCCAGAATCTGGGCAGAAGAGGAGAGAAAGGTGGATTCCAGAGGCTGCAGGAGCTGTCCACACTGGGCCGCTCCCTCCCAAGAAGGATTCCTGGGGCGGGGTGGGGGCTCTGACTCACCCCCTCTCTGCTGCTCCTTAAATCAACACCTCAGGCTCCTCCATCCCCCACAACTTTCTCGGCCTCCCTGCCTCCCAGCTTCCTGCCCCACCTCCACCCTGGCAGACAGCCTCCCCTGTGAATGTTCCATTTGGCCTCCAAAGTTGCTCTTAAACCAGAGCTCTCCTCCCCTCTCCTGAGGTTCTGTCCTGATCCAGGCTCCTCCTGGTCCCCAGTCTCCTCCCAGGTCTCAGCACTGGGTCTCACTGCCCTGGAATCTACCCTCCAGAAGGCAGCTGGAGTCTGACCCTGTGCCTTCTCGGCTCTGAATCCTTCCATGGCTCCCCAGTGCCCTGGGGACCAAAGTTCCAGGCCACAGCCCTGGGTGAACTGACTCTCACCCACCTCCCCAGCCTCAGATCCAGTTACTCCTACTGTCTACACTGGGTTCAACACTGACATTTTCCCTCTTCCCTGAACTGGCCATGGTCTCATCTCCAGTCCATGCACTTGCTGGTTCCACTTTCTAGAATCCCTTCCCCTACTCATTCTCCTCATCCTCCAATTTTGCAGCTCAGCTGCCCTCTCCTCCAAGAAGCCCTCCCTGATTTCCCCTGGGCTTCCCCCACCCAGCCGTGACCATGCCGGGTTGTCACTGTCTGGGGATGGGGCTGTCTTCTCTCCTGGATTGCTTTGGTCACTGCTGTGTTCCCAGCGCCACCAGCACAGAGCAAGGCACAGCAGGAGCAACTTCTTAGATTAGAGAACTAACTGATCAGCTGATGTCAGTGACCAGCAGCCACATAGAGAAGGATCAGAAGAAAGACAAGAGCCGGCCCTCCCTGCCTGTCCCCCGTGACTGCTCAGCCAGCCCCCCATTAGTGCTCACCCGCACCAGCCGGGCCCTCTTCACCAGGTCATTGAGCTTGCGCAAGGCGGCATGGCGTGGCAGGCCCTGGATGTCGCGGAAGAGGTCTTGCTCCTCCAGCTCGAAGAGCCGCCGGTTGTCGGGCACCAGGAGGGGCTGGGACCAGAAGGAGCCGATGTAGACACGCAGCACCTCGGGCGTGCCCACCACCTTGCCCAGCGCCCACATGAGCGCCCCGTAGACGCGCATTAGCTGCTGCGTCTCCACCATGTCGGCCTTGTTGAGCACCACGCGGATCTTGTCCTCGTGGCCTCTCAGGGCGTTGATGGCCTCCGAGAACTCGTCGGAGATCTCCAGCTTGTGAGCATCAAAGAGCAGGATGATGAGGTCCACCCGCTCAGCGAACCAGCGCAGCACGGCTGGGAAGTCATAGCCTGGGGGGAAGGGGAGGGGGTAACAAGGATGCCAGGGGCAGAGGTCAGCCCCAGAGCCTCCAGTCATTCGGGCGCAACCATGGGTTTGGACTTACATTGGGCTGTACAGATGTTCAGGTTGTTAACTATCCAAACTTGTGTCTATGGGAAACAGCCGAGGTCCCAGGGGTGACCCCACAGCTCTGGTCCAACCAGCCCTCAGAATTTCCCCCATCACTCTGGCTCCAGTTGCTCAGGCCATCTGACTACAGGGGGAAATCACCCCTCCCCCATTTCATTCATTCATTAGGCAGACATTAGCAGCATGCACTGGTCAGGATGCAGGGGTTAGCAAAACACTGAAGTGTTTCCTACTAGACTCCCTGTGGTTCTATGTACCTCAGTCCCCCAAAGGGCCTCCCCAGGACCTGTCAGATCACCCCACCAACCAGCAACTAACGAGTTCACCCAGGCCCTTGCCACAGCAGATGTGAAAAATTTTCAGTTTGTTAACAATATTGACCGAGAGTCTTCTGTGTGCCAGGCCCTGTCCTGGGCACTGGGGATGCTACAGAGAACACACAGACAAGGTCCTTGCCTTTGTGGAGCATAATAGCTGGCTCCTGAGTTCATTCATTCATTCCTCTCACCATTCATTTCCTCATTCACTTATTCATTCACACAGTCCACTCTTTTGCCTGTTCCCTCATTCATTCAGCATCAAGCGATGCTTGGGAGAGCAGAGAGAAGCAGTTGAGACCCCCTGACTTGGCAGTCAGGAAGACCTGGGTTTGAATTTTAGCTCTGCCCCCATCAGTTAGGTGACCTTAAGCAAGCAGGTAACCTCTCTGAACCTCTGTTTCCTCTTCGGTAAAATGGAAATCATAATAGCATCTACCTCAGAGGACTGTGTGAACATTAAAAGAATATAAATAGGCTAATATATATAAAAAGCTTAAGACAGTGCCTGACACTGAACTACACACTTAAAATGAGTAACTTTAGGCATGTAAATTATACCACAATAAAACTGTTAAGAAAAAAAAATAAAAGCAGTGCTGGGTGCATGGTAAGCACTCAACAAGTATTACTCACGATCCCTGCAAGTCATCCAGGAGCCATCCCCAAAGTCACCTGCTCTGTGCAGAGGACACACTGGCTGAGACACCTCCAATTCTGTCTTAACTTTGCTCCCAGTCCAGAGGTCAGACTGGGATGGGAAAACCCAGGGAGCTGCAGGAGCCCAGAGGGAGGTGCCTGATCCAGCCTCGGAGGTCAGGGAGGGCTTCCAGGAGGAGGGAACAGAGTGACAACCTGGGGGATGAGGGTTTAACTGACAGAACAGAAACCCATCGCTGATTCAGTTGATGTCAACTCCCGCTCTCCCTGAATCAACTCATTGAATCTTCAAAACAACCCCAGGAGACAGACACTCTATGACCCCCATTTTCCAAAAGGGGGAACTGACAAACAGAGAGGTTAAGGAATTTATTCCAGATACAGGTAGGAGGCAACAGAGCAGCAGCCCTATGGGCCTCCACGCTCCACTTGGGGGCTTGTGCTGGGCCCATCCTGTCAGGGAGGAAGCAGTCTCCTGCAGCCACTGGGGACTGGACTGGACAGGGCGGGGGTGATGACATTGTTTTGGGGGGAGGAAGGGCCAGGTCACCATAAGGACAGCAACTGGGGCCCCTCCTCCCTCCCCAACGTCTACACAAACACACACACCAGCCTAGATTTGGAAAATGTGTCTCATGTAGGGAGGGAAGATGGGAGGGAGGTTGAGTCAGCGTGGGAATGCAAGACGTGGCACCTGGGGTGCACAAACACAGCACTCACACAGGGAAAAGAGTTATCCTGAGCACTTCCATAGCACTCACTGTGTGCCACACAGTTCTAAGGCTCCACACATTTTGACATTTAATTTTAACCCTCAGGGCAAACTCTGAGGCTGATGCTATTATACTTCCATTTTATATATGAGAAAACTGAGGCACGGAGAGGTTAAGTGGCTTGGTCAAGGTCCCACAGCTTCAAAGTAGTAGAGCCCAGATATGAACCCCGCCAGGGGGCTCCACTATGCTACAATCACACACATGTGTGCACACATATTCCAGACACACGCTCCACCAATGCACACATGCATCCACACATACACTCATGCACTCAGTAGCACACACTTGGATGCAATCATACCCACACACTATAAGATGCAGATTTCCAAACATGCCTTACTCACAATCTGGGACCTACACAAATATTTGTGGTCACAAAATTGCAAAGACATCGTGAAACACAAAGTAACAGGCAGCAGCTGACGCACACAAGCCCATGCACAACTGCACACCCATCATGTTACAGAGACACAATCATATACACTCCTGCACACACACACACACCTCACGTGTACACACAAGCACACAACTGTATACAAAGACATAACCACACGCCATCACACGCAATCCAACAAAATCCCCTCCATCCTATACAGTCCTCCACGGCCACACAGTTACACACATGTACAACCACACGCACAGCCCTGACACACAGACACACCACCTCAGAGTCACACCCACAGCTGTACACTTTCCCAGACACATGCCAAATTATCCACACGGTTACACAAAACTTCCCTTGCACAATGCACTCACACACACGTTCCACAATACAGTCGCATACGGAGACACCCTTAGTCACGGTCACACACAGTCCCACAAAGTCCCCAGTGGTCCTTCAGAGCCACAGAGAGTCACACCCAGCCAGAATCACGGGCACGGACTCCTAGACACACACATACACACATCCTCACAGACAGACAGACGCTCCTTCTCTTCCTCTCCCCCCACTGCCAGGGAAGGAGACCCCGTTCTCTACTCTCTCCCACCTGCCACAGCCTTTGGGTCCCCCACCCGGCAGCCCAGCC